AATAAGTAAATTGGAAAAAAAAAAAAGAAAAGAAAAAGAAAGAGAGATGGATTCAACTGAAGTTACTGTCATAAACAAATAAATGTGGAAAAAAAAAGAAAAAGAAAAGAGATGGAATCAACCAAACAAATAAATGAAGGAAAAAAAAAAGAGAGAAAGATGGATTCAGATTTTAGATTTAGAAATTAAAACTTATTAAAAAAGAAGAGAAGTAACAAATTTAAAAAAAAAAAGAAAAAAAGAAAAAAGAAAAAGAGTTTAATACCTAAGCAAACCACCCCAAATTTGAGCTGTGTTCATTAGATCACTGTGACAAGGTGGGTTGCTGCCGGTGATTGATTTTATGAGTGATTGGTTCGACTTCTTTGAAAAGAAGAGGAAGAGATTGGGTCGGCTGTGAGGGGGATCACACGATGTATGAAGTGAAGAAGGAATAGGGTTTTGTTTCTATTTAGGATTTCAAAACATTTTTATTGTTTTTTTTAATAAAATGTAAGCTAAAAGACCATTATACCCTTAAAAAAAGGATCTGACAATAAATTCTCTTATTGTTTTTTGGACTTTTCACTAAATGTTTAAATGGCATTAATAGCAGCCGCTACCCGCTATGGAAAAAGTGACTGCTATAACCGTAAGGCGGCCACTATTATAAATCCGCTACACTATAGGCATAGTTATAGTGGATAAGCTATTGCCCACTACGCTATGGCCGCTATAACACTATAGCAGCCGTTAGTGACAACACTGTTATCTTGTGCATGTTTGAAATAATTATCAAACTCACTCTATCTCCACATTCAATATCTATCTTTAACAAATCCATGAACCACTCCTGGTTTTTCCTATTCTCTATGTCAACAATTGTTCATGCCATTGAAAACTTTAATGGTTCTCATATCTCCCAATTGTTATTAACAATATGCCTTTATAGATACCTATCCATAAATGGCCATCTACACTAATAATGCGTCTGTAATTACTTTCCATACCCTTTTATATCCAGCAAACCACATGTACATCTTTTTGAATTGATACAATGTTGCACCATTAGTGTTTGATCTAATAAAACATGTTGAGATAGGATTAGTAGCCACTTAATAATTCTTTTAGCTTTTTGACATGTGTACTTTGAAACTTCAACCTCTAATTCTGCTTTCATATATTTAGCAAGTTGCTTATTATTCATATGAGAAGAGTCAATAACCAATGTTCTTAATGCTTCAATTAAAAAGCTCTCAATTGCCATTTTGTTTATATTTGATTTAAAATATGAATGTTTATTGTTATAAGTTTTCACCTTAAATGTATCATTTCAATCGTCAAAACTAGCAATAATTTCCCTTGAACAATCATTTTTCATATCACATGCAATCCTTTGCCTTAACTCATTTTTCTTTTAGTGTAGTTTACATCCCTTCTTGATTGAATACTTAGTAATGGATACCTTAAATTATATTGCATTTTCAAACACTATTTCAACTTCAAAATGTAGACAATTAGAGGTTAGGTCATAATGCAAGCTACTAGATGGTCTCTTTAATGCTACCAAGGGTCATCAATAGAGTTATCACTATAATAGCTACCAAGGTCTAAACTGTCAATACATCTATTGTTATGACACCAGCTGTTGGTGTCATCATCTTCAAAGTTTGAGTGGTCAACTAGTTGGGGGCCATTTTCATCACCATTGTTAAGTTTCCTGATTCTAATACCCTTAGGACTAGATGCTAACTCTACAACTTTGTTTTTTGTTTTATGCTTTTCCTCTACCAACTTTTTGCTTCCTTTTATGTTTGCTTTGTATTCCATCATAATTGTTAAGACCCTCATTCACACTTATTATTCCAATGTGTTTAGTAGTCTCAGCCAACAATTCTTTATCATCAGCATCACTACCTAAAGCATCCACACCTAGCATTGTAGTTATGGCATTATTTCCATTAGAAAGCTCAGTATTTTTAACACCTAAATCTTTATCAACAATATCAAATAAATGCTCAACAAAAACATGACATACAATTGATTAGATTAATATTTTAGCTACCTAAATTATTTCAATATCACCATTAAGAGAACACATCTATGTTTCATAGACTCTACTAGGGACACATTACAAATTTTGTACTATAGTGACTTAAATGGCCCATAGCCTAACTATCGAAGCTTGTCTACAATACCCCAATAGCATAGCTTGTTCACATCCCAAACAAGAAAATCATATGTTTCAATGCTAGTATAATAAGAATTGTATACATCAGGTCTACCATCAAAATGTATGCAACCATCAAAATGTATGCAAACCTCAAAAGGTGAATCATCAAACATTGTTATGAAATAAAAAAAACCATAATTCTAATTATATTCTTTAACAAATTATTCGACATATGATATAAAATATGAACCGTTCAATCTAAAAACACTAACATTAAACCACAAAGAAAGTCATTGAAAACCATCCAAACCCTAATTCAACCCATGATCCCTAATGGTTATTAATAGAAGATTATTGTGAATATCTAAAAAACTAAACCTGTTTACCATTGTTTAATCAAACCCACTTAAACCAAACTTTAATAATTAAATCTATAATAATGATTAAAGAATAAACAAAGAAATCACCATAAAACCTATGTAAACAACACTTTAAACATCAGTAATGGCTATTACCTACTTATAAAGGATGAAAGCTACACCAGATCATTCCCTATGGTTCCTTCTTTTTCTCTTTAGTTGTTTGACAAGGCAACAAAAATCTTTGAATTCTTCGATGGTAAACAGATAAAGAACTAACTTTTTCTTCCCTCTTTTCTGTTCATGTTATAGAGAATTCTTTGTTTAACTGTTGTGATTAAAAATTTTTTGTTCAGGTAGGATAATTCCTACACATAGACCACTAATGACATGTTAGACACCAAATACCATGCAAGCCATTAGACTAATCGCGTCACAGAGCTCAATTGGTAGAGGGGCTAATTTGCATCAAATGTGGGGTTGAAGGGCTTATTTCCTCCTTTTTTTAGTTCAAGGGTTTGTCACTTACTATTAAAAAAGTTGAGGGGGCTTGAAAGGGTCTTCACCTAAAATACCATATTAAATACTTTTAAACTTATAATAATCTTGTAATATCCCAAAATTTTTTGAAATTTTAAAATTTGAGTTAGGGACTTATGCGGTAGAAATTATTATTGTGGAGCCTAATAACTAAAATTCCCAAACCTAAGAAAGGGCGAAAAGAAAATTTTGGTGATAAAGGGGCTAAGGGTGATTTTCCTTTTTCTCTCCTTGCCTTTTTGTGTTTCCCTGCAGCCCTATCACCAAAATATGTCTTACAAGCACTAACTTGTACCTAATTCTTTCTCACCAAAAAACAAGTGAGATTTAGTTTTTCTTCTTCCTTGCAGGTCAAATTTAAAGATTTATGAGCTTATGGTTCTCAAAATTATGATTAAAACCCAAATCTTGCTAATGATCAAAACCCAAATTTTCTTCTTAATTGTGACCTTTTTGTTGTGAAGGAGGAAGAAGAATCGAATGGTGGATTACCTTCCTTGTCTTGGATCTTGGCTTTGACATTGTCAAAGGTGTCGTTGCTCACAACCTTGAGAGTTATGGTCTTACCAGTTAGGGTTTTCACAAAGTTTTGCATCTTCTCTCCCTTGTTCCTGTCTACAAAGGGCTGTGAGTTAAAGAGGAAGCTGATTTTAAACTTGTTTTCTAGGGTCTCAGAGTACAAAATATTGGGCTACCTAAGATCTTAGGCCCAATGGATTCTTTCATACACAAAACAAGGTCTATTGGCTGAATTACTTTCATCCTTTTGCGGAGTACAATACCTTTTACAACTTTTTTTTCTTTTTTTTTCACTAAATCTCCTTATATTTGGAAGCCTAAAATTGTTAACTTCTTATTAAATTTAAATAATAATTAGATGAAGATTTAATTATTATTTTCGTAATGGTATCGTGTTTAACAACCTTACTTGGAATGAAAACACTATCTTTGAGTTAGTGTTAACAAAGACCTTTGGTTGGATAAAGGGGAAATCTAAATCTGATATGTTCAATTACAGTGATTGGTGCCAGTTCCCAGCTCTATGTGAAGCTTAATTTTGTTTCTTATTTTGTAAAAGGTGAGTGGAATTTTGATAATGATGATGAGAGTATTGTAAATATAGGTTAGAGTACCTCTTGTACTCTATATTAAAAAAAAAAATTTATTTGGCTGATAGAAAAGAAAAAAGATGAAGATTTAATTAATAGAAAAAATTTAATTTTAAAGGCATAATATTTTAATATATCTAAATAATGTATTTAAAAATACATGTATTTAAAATTTATTTATTTTTATTCAATCCAAACAAGATATTTTAAAATGCATGTATTTCAAATACACATTCCAAAAACAAATACAAGTTCCCAAACACAACCTAAACAATTTTTCATAAGCTTTGTTTTATATTGGTTTTGAATTTCTAACTTATGCATTATTACATATTGTGAAAACCCCGCTTTGCATTGTTTAAGCCTTTTTCGAGCAAATCATAAATCCACATAAAACTCTTAAAAGAGGTGCATTACACTATGCTTATAAATTTCTCAATCAATCTCTCACCAATGATTATTAAGAAACAAACTAAGAAAGACATTGGACAAATATTGGTTTCCTTCTCTGTAATTTTTTTTTT